AGCCCCTGCAGTTTCCTTCTCCATCCTATGCATCCTAAATCTTGCCTAATCACCTCATAATTGCCTTTCCCCCAGCTATAACTCTTGCCCTGCGGTATATACCTATCCCTTTCCATCGCTAAAGTAAACGTAACCGAATTGTGGTCACTATCACCAAAGTGCTCACCTACCTCCAAATCTAACACCTGGCCTGGTTCATTTTCCAGTACCAAATCCAATGTGGCCTCGCCTCTTGTTGGCCTATCTACATACTGTGTCAGGAAACCCTCCTGCACACATTGGACAAAAACTGACCCATCTAAAGTACTCGAACTATAGCGTTTCCAGTCAATATTTGGAAAGTTAAAGTCCCCCAAAACAACTACCCTGTTACTTTCGCTCCTATCCAGAATCATCTTTGCAATCTTTTCCTCTACATCTCTGGAACTTTTCGGAGGCCTATAGAAAACTCCCAACAGGGTGACCTCTCCTTTCCTGTTTCTAACCTCAGCCCATACTACCTCAGTAGACGAGTCCTCATCAAACATCCTTTCTGCCACCGTAATACTGTCCTTGACTAACAATGCCACACCTCCCCCTCTTTGACCACCTTCCCTGATCTTACTGAAACATCTAAACCCCGGAACCTGCAACAACCATTCCTGTCCCTGCTCTATCCATGTCTCCGAAATGGCCACAACATCGAAGTCCCAGGTACCAACCCATGCTGCAAGTTCACCCACCTTATTCCGGATGCTCCTGGCATTGAAGTAGACACACTTCAAACCACCTTCCTGCCTGCAGGTACACTCCTGCGACCTTGAAACCTTATTTATGACCTCACTACTCTCAACCTCCTGTACACTGGAGCTACAATTCAGGTTTCCATCCCCCTGCTGAATTAGTTTAAACCCTCCCGAAGAGCATTAGCAAATTTCCCCCCCAGGATATTGGTACCCCTCTGGTTCAAGTGTAGACCATCCTGTTTGTAGAGGTCCCACCTACCCCAGAATGAGCCCCAATTATCCAGGTATCTGAATCACTCCCTCCTGCACCATCCCTGTAGCCATGTGTTCAACTGCTCTCTCTCCCTATTCCTCGCCTCGCTAGCTCGTGGCACGGGTAACAAACCAGAGATAACAACTCTGTTTGTTCTAGCACACTGACTCTCACTGGGGTACAGTCCCACACGCACTGACTCTCATTGGGGTACAGTCCCACACACACACTGACCCTCACTGGGATACAGTCCCACACACACTGACTCTCACTGGGATACAGTCCCACACACACTGACTCTCACTGGTGTCCAGTCTCACAGACACTGACTCTCACTGGGGTACGGTCCCACACACACTGACTCTCACTGGGGTACAGTCCCACACACACTGACTCTCACTGGGGTACAGTCCCACACACACTGACTCTCACTGGATTATAGGAACAGCAACTCATATTCCGCTTGGGAACGCTGCAGCCCAATGGTATCAATGTGGACTTCACAAGCTTCAAAATCTCCCCTCCCCCTACTGCATCGCAAAACCAGCCCAGCTTGACCCGCCTCCCTGACCTGTCCCTCCTCCCACCTATCCCCTCCTCCCACCTCAAGCCCCACCCTCATCTCGTACCTACTAACCTTATCCCGCCCCCTTGACCTGTCTGTCGTCCCTGGACTGACCTATCTCCTCCCTACCTCCTCACCTACACTCACCTTTACTGGCTCCATCCCCGCCTCTTTGACCTGTCTGTCTCCTTTCCACCTATCTTCTCCTCTATCCAACTTCTATCTGCCTCCCCCTCTCTCCCTATTTATTTCAGAACCCCCTTCCCCTCCCCCATTTCTGAAGAAGGGTCTAGGCCCGAAACATCAGCCTTCCTGCTCCTCTGATGCTGCTTGGCCTGCTGTGTTCATCCAGCTCTACATCTTGTTATTTACAAGAATGTTGCCAGGTTTGGAAAGTTTGAGCTATAGGGAGAGGCTGAAAAGACTGGGGCTATTTTCCCTGGAGTGTCAGAGGTTGAGGGATGATCTTATCAAGGTTTATAAAATCATTAGGGGCATGGATAGCCAAGATCTGTTCCCTGGGGTGGGGGAGTCCTAAACTAGACAGCATTGGTTTAAGGTGAGAGGGGAAAGATATAAAAGGGCAACTTTTTCATGCAGAGAGTGGTGTGTGTATGGAACAAGCTGCCAGAGGAAGTGGTGGAGGCTGGTACAGTTACAACATCTGGATGGGTACATGAATTGGAAGAGTTTAGAGGTGGGGCCAAATGCTGGCAAATGGGACTAGATGAATTTAGGATACCTGGTCGGCTTGGATGAGTCAGGCCAAAGGATCTGTTTCCATGCTGTACAGCTCCATGACTCTGTGACAGCGATAGATTAAAAGTGATCTTCAGAAGCAGCAAGAGTAATATGAGAAAAAGTTTTTCACACAGTGAGTAATTAGGGTATAGAAAGCATTGCCTGGAATGTGGCTGAGGCAGGTTCAACTAAAGCATTCAAGAGGCTATTGGATAATTATTTGAACAGAAACTGATGCAAGGAGATGTCGAAAAGGCATGAGGTTGGCACTCGTTAATAAGGCTCATTTGAAGAGCTGGTACAGACAATAATGGGCTGAATAGCCTCCTTCTGTGCTGTAATGATTCTGTGGGATCATGAGCAGAAGAAACATTTAACATCATCACTGAATAATTGTGCAGGCGTAAATTACCGGAACAACCAGGAAGTGCTTGGTCTTGTGGTGGTGGCTGATTGTCAGCACAAAACCGTTGGGTGTCCTTTGGCTCTCTCTAATCAGGAAAACACTGCATCAAGAGAAAAGGACACAAATAAATACCCCTCTGAAATTCAGTGCAATACTGAAACTAAAGTCATTTCTCATTAAAGTCTGCCATTTATTCCTGTTTCCTCTTCCTGTTCAATCCATGACCATCAGCAATACTGCTGGAATATTCACAATATTACAGCAAACTGTCAAACTTACAAAGGCTGAAAGTGAATCTTGCAATATCGCAACTAAAATGTAACACTGAATCCTGTACAGGAAGATGCAAGGACACCAATGTAGTCAGAGAGGCACAATTTAAGGAGCTTATAGTTGGCAGGGAGGGAGAGAATTTAGGGAGGAAATTCCTGAGCTTCTGTCCCAGGCTTTCACCAATGATGCAATAATTAAACGGGGAGTCTCAAGGGGCTAGAGTTTGAGGAGAACTGAAATTTCAAAGGGTTGTGGGGCTGAGGAGAGTGAGGGACAAGACCATGGAGGGATTTTAGAACATAGATAAGTAATTTACACTTGAGGTATCAATGTCATTCACTGAGATCTGGGGCAATACAGAAAGGAACTTGCTGTGAGACAGGATCCATGGGCAGCAGAGGTTTTTGGATGCCCTCAGGACCTGCGACAATAGAAGACTCAGAAAAATGGCTAGGAGAGCAATGGGAGAACTGAGGATCAAAAGGAGACCAGTGAGACAGAAGATAAAAAGTCTTTCATGTAAGAAATGTGTGGATGGTTTGAGTGGTGGATGATAGTACAAAGTGGCCAATGAGCAGTCTGAGTGACCTCTGGGGGCGGGTTAAAATGACCCTTTGCTTTGTATCAGTGGGGTGTTGATGGAGCAGAAACAAATGACACTATTTGCTTAGTTAATTTAGTTAACATATTTGTTGGAATTTTCCAAACTGGACCAATAGTCTAACAGTCCCTATGAGACAGGGTTCAAAAGGGAGTGCACCTTTCTAGCAGGCAGTTAGTTATTGAGGTGCGATTCTGTGAATTCATCACTTACTCACCCACCCAGGGAACTCCAAGCTGGCTTCCTCTTGTAATTATCTGTAATCATTGAATTCCTCACTCTCTTTCAGATTATGGGCTCTCTCACCCACTGTTCATTTGCAAAATTCCTCTGAACTGAAATAATTCTTGCCTTTGCCCCCTCCTCCCCGCCCCCCGCCCCCCGCTATGTCCTTACCCATCAATGTGACCATGTTGGATAATCAGTCTGTGAGCTTCTTCTCTCGAGATCCGTCCATGAAACCAGGGCTGACTCCTGTGTATTGCTAGATCCATGACAAAGGAAACTGTTAATGCACTTATCCCATCTCAAACATTGTTCCTAACTCATCTTTTTACCAGCAATATATCTGCTGCAGCAATCAACACTAGTCTATAAAACATTAGCACAACATACCTCACTGTAGGCCTTAGAAAGGCAACTTATTATCACCATGGAGAGAAATTTCAGAATGCTTCAGTGCAGAGTATTCTGGGTGTCCTCACACATGAAGCACAGAAACCTAGCATGCAGCTACAGCAGCTAATAAGGAAGGTAAATGGAATTTTGGAATTTATTGCTGAAGTAATAGAGTATAAAAGTAGAGAAGAGTTGCTGCAACTGTACAAGGCATTAGTGAGACTGCAGCTGGAATATTGGGGAGAGTTCTGGACCCCTTACTTGAGAATGGATGTAGTTACATTGGAAGTAGTTCAGAGGAGGGTCACAAGATTGATTCCAGATATGGGGGATTTATCTTATGGAGAGAGATTGAGCAGTTCAGGTATTTACTCTGTGGAGTTTAGAAGAATGAAAAAAAATCTAGTTGAGGTATATAAGATGCTAAAGGGAATAAACAAAGTAGACGTAGAAAAGATGTTCCCTCATGTGGGCCAATCTAGAACAAGAAGTCATAGTTTTAGGATAAGAGGTAGCAAATTTAAAACAGAGATAAGGAGAAATTACTCCTCTCAAAGGGTCATGAATCTGTGGAATTAACCCTCCCACAGTTTGATGGATGTTGGGACATTGAGTAAATTTTAGGACAGACAGATTTTTAATTAGTAATAGGTTGAAGGATAATGGAGAATTGGCAGGAAAATGAAACGGAGGCCAGGTTGAGATGAATTGGTGGGCCAAACTTGAGGAGCTGAATGGCATACTTCTGCTCATGGTTCTTATGTTCTCTCAGTGCCTGTGATGGTTCCCCCAGTGCTCCTCACCCACCTCTATCTGGACCATCCTCAGGTTTAAATGGAGATTGGATTGACTCTCATAGAATCACAGTTCCTGCAGAATTCATTAGATTGTGGTAGCCTAATGCCTGGTCCCTCTGCACCCTCAATAATCACATGGGGCTTTCAGTGTTTCTGGGTTCCTGTTACGGCACATTATAAGATAGAAAAAGAGATAACTGCAACAACACCTCTTACTGTTTCTCCACTGACAAAGAGATTTTTGTAAGCTTGAGAGTAGGTGGGGGAAAAACCTTCATAATAAGCACAAGTGGAGAGATAGAGAGAAAGAGAGATAGAGAGAGAGGGCAACAAAAAAACAGATAGAGAGAGGGGGTCAGACAGAGGGACTGAGACAGAGACAGGGTAACAGAGACAGACAGACAGAAAGTGAAAGAGAAAGAGAAATAGACAAAGAGAGAAGGAAAGGAAGAGGCAGATGGAGAGGCCCACACAAAGAGAGAGAAAGGTGGAGAGAAAGGGAGGCGAAATGGAGAGAAAAAAAGGATAGATAGGAAGGAGAAAGAGAGAGTGACAGAGACAGAGAGGAAGCACAATCTCCCACATTTCTGTGGCTGAAATGACCCTAGTTAAAAAAAAAATAAGGAATTGCTAAGATTCTAAGAAGCACTGACCATTCAGTCCTTCAAAACCCATTCTGTGCGCACACACTGCACCGTCAATCCAGGATAAATGTTACTCCTGTCACTTAAGATCTTTGCATTAGTGTTGACATTTCACTGAATGTTTAACACACTTTCTACAATCTAACAATGGAGATCTGAAATCTACTTTTAAACAGGTTTAAAGCAGAGTGAAATAGAAATCCCTGACTTTTTGGCATTCAATCAATATAATCTCAAGTTGGGTCTTCCTCTCCTCAATAAAAGCTGTTGAATTGGGAATCAGTTATACATTTGAATACTGAGTCATATAGGTTCCTGTTGGGTGAGGCTACTAACAATTTTGGAACCAGACAATTAGATGGAGCTAAGATATTGATCAGTCATGATTGAACGGGATAGAGTAACAGATTTCAGGGGCTGAATGGCCTCTTCTCATTCCTACGGACAGGTTTATTTCTGGGAGTTTTGTTCTAACTCTTTGTGGTTTACGATCAGAAATGAGCGACGTGTTTTTTTTCTGCAGCTGTGGACAATTGGGTGAAGCTGCGTTACTGCTGGTTTGCAGTTTTCATACTCATGAAAACCTGATTTGGTTGTTAATGTTTGGTTTCGCACAAATCATCAGAAAGACTCCACTTCATTTTTGAGAACTTTATTTAATAAATTGATACTATAACAAAAATTTCTCGCATAGAGAAAGTGTGGAGGAGAATTACCAGAATGGTCACAGGGATGGGAAACCTTGGTGAATGTGGACAGGCTGGAAAAGCTAGGGTTGTTTTCCCTAGAGCACAGAAAGTTAGGAGGTGATTTAATAGCATCCAAAATCATTAAGGTAGAGTAAATGAACAATGTTTTCCACTGACATGGGTGGAACACCATAGAATCATACAATCACAGAATCTGCACAGTGAGGAAGCAGGCCATTCAGCTCATTGAGCCCCCACTGACCTTCTGAGTAGCATCCCACCCAGACCTCTCCTGTCCTATCCTGGAACCTTGCATTTCCCATGGCCAACCCACCTGGGCACAAAAACAAAGTTGCTGGAAAAGCTCAGCACGTCTGGCAGCATCTATGAAGGAGAAAACAGAGTTAATGTTTCGGGTCCGGTGACGCTTCCTCAGAACTGGCACCTAGGCACACCTTTGGACTGGACATTATGGGCAATTTCCCATGGCCAATCCATCTAACCTGCACACCTTTGGACTGTGGGAGGAAACTGGAGCACCAGAGGAAACCCATCAGGGGACACAGATTTAAATCTATTTGGGTCTCCACTGTTTTCAACTTTTCATGTTTACCAAGTCCCTTATCCAGTCCTTTTTGGCTCTAAGGTTGATGAATTCACACTGCTTATATTGATTCCCATGTGCTTCAGCTTTTCTGTTTACTGTAATTATTAACATCTCTTGGTAATTTTATGCTTCCAGCTGTACTTACCCAGAGACATTTACCTTCACGGTAACTCACCTGCACTGAGTACTGAGCCTTGGCATGGGCTGGGCAAGCTGTGCCTCTGGGCTCCTTTCTTCTGCAAAAATCAAGGGATAAATTTAGTTTGTAAAAGGTACAGACACAGAGTAAAATCTGGAAGAGACATAAGGAGACAGCAAAGAGATATGGACAGATTAAGTGATTGGGCAAAAAAGTTGTCAGATGGAGTATAATGTAGGAAATTGTGATGTTGTTCACTATGCCAGGAAGAATAAAAAAAGCAGCATTTTATTTAAACACAGAGAGTTTGCAGAACTCAGAGGTGCAGAGGGATCGAGGTGCACGGTACATGATTCACAAAAGATCAGCAAGTGATTAGAAAAGCAAATGGAATATTGTCATTTACTGCAAACAGAATTGAGTATAAATGTAAAGAACATAGGACGTGTTCTGCTATTTAATACAGTCACGTTTGATCAAACACTTCAATGTCTTTTACCCACTTCGTTCCCATGATCCATTATGCCAGTGATTATCCATAATCCATCAATCCCTACTTTAAACAAACTGAAAGACTGAGCTTCCACAGTCCTCTGCCGTAGACAATTCCAAAGGTTCAGAACCCTCTGAATAAAAATATTTCGCCTCAATTTTGAACTAAAAGGTATCCCTCATTATTTTAAATTATGCCCTTTCATCCTACACTCCCCAGCCAGAGGAGCATCTTACCTACATCTACCCTGTCTATCTCTTGAAGTATTTTGCAAATTTCAAATGTGATCACCTCTGATTCTTCAAAGGTCTAGAGAATACAAGTCCATTTGCCCACTCTCTCTTCTTGGGACAGTCCTGGCCATCCCTGGAACAAGTCTGATGAACCTTCATTATACTCCCTACATGGAAATAATATCTTTCCTGAGATGTGGAAATGAGAATTGCACGTTGTCCTCCAGGGGTGTGGTCTAAACAAGCTCCTATATTTTGCGTCAGTATTTACTGTGGAGAAGGACATGGAAGCTAGGGAAGTTGGGGAAATAAGTAATGATGTCTTGAAAAGAGTTTACTACAGAAGAGCTGAGGGTCTTAAAATACATAAAGGTAGATAAATCCCCAGGATCAGTACTTTGTGGGAAGCTAGGAAAAAGATTGTTGGGCTCCTTGCTGAGATATTTGTATCAACAGCCATGGGTGAGGTGCCAGAAGACAGGAGGTTGGTTAATGTGGTGCCATTATTTAAGAAAGGTGGTAAGGAAATTTCAGGGAACTAAGGGCCAGTGAGCCTGACATCACTGGTAGGTAAGTTGTTGGAGGCGATTCTGAGGAACAGGATTTACATGCATTTGAAAAGGCAAGGACTGTTTAGGGATAGTCAACATGGTTTTGTGCATGGGAAATCGTGTCTCACTAACTTGATTGAGTTTTTTTGAAGAGGTGACAAAGAAGATTGTTGAAGATAGAGTTGTCTATACGGACTTCGGCATGGCATTTGACAAAGTTCCGCATTGTAGACTGGTTAGCAAGGGTTAGATCACATGGAATCCAGGGGGAGCTAGCCAAATGGATACAAAATTGGCTTGAAGGTAGGAGACAGAAGGTAGTTGTAGAGGGATGTTTTTTGGTCTGGAGGCCTGTGACCAGCAGTGTGCCACAAGGATCGGTGCTGGGTCCATTGCTTTTTGTATTGATATAAATGATTTAGATTTGAATTTAGGAGGTAGGGTTAGTACATTCGCAGATGCCATCAAAATTGGCTGTTCAGTGGACACTGAAGGTTACCTAAGAATAAAACAGGATCTTGATCAGATGTGTCAATGGGCCAAAAAGTGATAAATAGAGTTTCATTTAGATAAATCTGAGCTGTTGCCTTTTGGTAAGGCAAACCAGGGCAGGATTTATACAGTTAATGGTAGGGCCCTTGATGGTGTTGCCAAACAAAGAGACCTAGGGGTGCAGGTGCACAGATCCTTGACAGTGGAGTCGCAGGTAGACAGGGAGGTGAAGAAGGCATTTAGCATGCTTCCTTCATTGGTCAGTGTGTTGAGTATAGGAGTTGGGATGTCATGTTGCAGCTGTGCAGGACTTTGGTGAGATCACTTTTAGAATACTTTTGGGACCCTGAAGAAGGGTAATACCCAAAACATTGACTTCTCCTTTCCTCCTGATGCTGCCTGGCTTGCTGTGTTCTTCCAGCCTCATGTTCGTCTAGTTTAGAATATTGCGTTCAATTCTGGTCTTGCTGTTAAAGGGAAGATGTTGTTAAATTTGAAAGGATTCAGAAAAGATTTACAAGGATGTTAGAAACAAAACTAGAGATTGCTGGAAAAGCTCAGTAGGTCTGGCAGCATCTGTGAAGAGAAATCAGAGTTAATGTTTTGAGTCTGGTCACTATTCCTCATAGAATCCCTACAGTGTGGAAACAGGCCCTTCGGCCCAACAAGTCCACACCAACCCTGAGAGCATCCCACCCAGACCCGTCCCCTTATAACCCACACATCCCTGAACACTATGGGCAATCTATCATGGCCAATCCACCTAGCCTGCACATCTTTGGATTGTGGGAGGAAACTGGAGTACCCAGAGGAAATCCATGCAGACACAGGGAGAACATGCAAACTCCACACAGACAGTCACCCGAGGCTGGAATTGAACCCGGGTCCCTGGTGCTGTGAGGCAGCAGTGCTAACCACTGAGCCACCGTGCCGCCCCATAATCCTCTGATTTACAGCACCTGCAGTTATCTTGGTTTTTACAAGGATGTTGCTGAGATTGGAGAATTTGAGCGATAGGGAGAGGGTAAATAGGCTGGGCTTTTGTTCCCTGGAGTGTCACAGTTGGGGGGGGGTGCAGCAGGGTGTGACCTTACAGAGGTTTATAAAATCATGAGGGCATGGGTGGGGTGAAAAGCCAAGAAAAGGGACCTGAGGGACAACTGTTTCACGCAGAGAGTGGTGCGTGTATGGAATGAGCTGCCAGAGGAAGTGGTGGGAACTAGTACAATTACAACATTTAAAAGGCCTCTGGATGGGTACATGAACAGGAAGGGTTTAGAGGAATATGGGTCAAATGCTGGCAAATGGGACTAGATTAATTTAGGATATCTGGTCAGCATGGACCAGTTGGACCGAAGGGTCTGTTTCCATGCAGTTTAACTCTATGACTCTATACAACTGAAGCAAGACTTCACTGCTCCTGTACTCAACTCCTCTTGTAATAAAAGGTTAACATTCCATTAACTTTCCTAATAACCTGCTGCACCTGCATGTTAGTGTTCAGTGACTTATCGACAAGGACACTTTAGTTCCTTTGTATTATTTCTCACATTTAAGAAATATTCTGCCCATCTGTTTCACCTACACAGGTGGATAACCTCACATTTTTCCACAGTATATTCCATCTGCCATGTTCTTGTCCATTCACCAAGTTTGTCCAGATCCTCCGGAAACAGTTTTACATCTTCTTCATATCACATATTCTACTTAACTTTGTATCATTCAAAAATTTGGATATCTTACATTTTGTTGCCACCTCCAAATCATTGATCTGTATTGTGATCAGCTGGGGCCCAAGTCCTGATCCTTGTGGTACCACCTCGTCACAGCCTGGCAACGTGAGAATCACCTATTTATTTCTACACTGTTTTCTGTTTGTTAATCAGTCATTAATCCTCACCAGCGCACTGTCTCCTATTCCATGTGCTTTAACTTTGCCTACCAGCTTCCTTTGGGGCAGCTTATCAAAAGTCTTCTGAAAATCCAAATATATTATGTCTATTGATTCCCCTTCATCAATTTTGTTTGTAACATCCTCAAAAAACTCCCACAATTTCCCTTTCACAAATCTATGCTGACTACGCTCAATCAGATCATTGTGAACTAGGTATTCATTTATCACACCCTTTATGATAGATTCCAGCATGTTTGGCATTTCCATACAACTGAAACAAGATTTCACTGCTCCTGTACTCAAATCCTCACTGACTTCTAAAGATGCACCACTGAAAGCATACTGTCCTGGTGTACAACAGCCTGGTATGGCAACGGCTCTGCCCAGGACAGTAAGAAACTACAGAAGGTGGTGAGCACAGCCCAGACCATCACAGAAGCCGACCTCCCATCCATGGACTCCAACTCCATTTCTTGTTGCCATGGGAAGGCTGCCAACATCGTCAAAGACCCCTCCCACCTTGGTAATGCTCTCTTCCAGCCTCTTCCGTCAGGCAGAAGATAGGGAAGCCTGAACACATGCACCAACAGGTCCAAGAACAGCTTCTTCCCTGCCTATTAAACTGCTGAAAGGACCTCTCTAACTTCAAATAATGTTGATCTTGCTTTGTGTACCTCCTGTGCAGTTGTAACTCTGTATGCCTCATTCTGTATGATCTGTATGCCCTTGTTTGCTATGATCTGCCTGTACTGCTCACAAAACAAAGCTTTTCATTGTACTTAGGTACATGCGTCTACAATAAATCAAATCAAATCATTTTCCCTACTACTGAGGTAAGGATGATGGGTTGGTCATTCCCTATTCTCTCCCTTGTTCCTTTCTTGAATCTTCAATCTGCAGGAATCATTTCAGAATCTATGGAATTTTGAAAGATAATCACCAAGGCATTGACTATCCCGATTGCCACTTCCTTCAACGCTCTGGGATATAGACCATCAGGTCTTGGGGACCTACTAACTCTTAGCTCCATTAATATCTCCAGTACAACTTCTAATACTATTTTCCTTCAACTCCTTATTCTCTTCAGTCAACTGAATCTCTAATCTTGGGAGAACTCTTGAATCTTCCTCAGTGAAAACAGACACAAGGTAATCATTTAACTTCTTGCTATTTTTCTACTTCCCCATTATAAATTCTCCTAATTTTGCAGCAATGGTGCTACTACATTTGTGTTAGCTAAATGTTTTCATTTTACAGATCAACAACACTCAAGAAACTTGACACCATCCAGGACAAAGCAGCCACTTGATTGACACGACATCCACAAGCATCCACTCCCTCCACCACCGATGCTCAGTGTGCACGATCTACAAGACACACTCCAGAAGTTCACCAAAGATCCTCAGACAGCACCTTCCAAACCCACGACCACTTCCATCTAGGACCACAAGAGCAGCAGATACATGGCAATACCACCCCTGCAAGTTCCCCTCCAAGCCACTCACCATCTGACTTAGAAATATATCACCGTTCCTTCACTGTCACTAGGTCAAAATACTGGAATTCCCTCCCTAATGGTGTTGTGGGTCAACCCAGAGCAGGTGGACTACAGTGGTTCAAGAAGGCAGCTCACCATCACTTTCTCAAGGGGAAACAGGTAATTAAAAAGGCAAATGGAATTTTGTCTGTCATTGCTAGAGGGATGGAGTTTAAAAACAGGGAGGCTATGCTGCAGCTGTATAGGGTCCTGGAGAGGCCACACCTGGAGTACTGTGTGCAGTTTTGGTCTCCTTATTTGAGAAGAGATATACTAGCACTGGAGGGGGTGCAGAGGAGATTCACTCAGTTGATTCCAGAGTTGAGAGGGTTGGATTATGAGGAGAGACTGAGTACGCTGGGATTATACTCACTGGAATTCAGAAGAATGAGGGGAGATCTTATAGAAACATACAAGATTATGAAGGGAATAGATAAGGTGGAGGCAGGGATGTTGTTTCTGCTAGCAAGTAAAACTAGGACTAGAGGGCATAACCTCAAAATCAAGGGAAGCAGATGTAGGACTGAGGTCAGGAGGAACTTCTTCACCCAAAGGGTTGAGAATCTGTGGAATTCCCTGCTCAGTGAAGCGGTTGAAGCTACCTCGCTGAATGTTTTTAAGGCAAGGCTAGATAAATTTTTGAACAGTAAAGGAATTAAGGGTTATGGTGAGTGGGCGGATAAGTGGAGCTGAGCCTCAAAAAGATCAGCCATGATCTTATTAAATGGTGGGGCAGGCTCAAGGGGCCAGATGGCCTACTCCTGCTCCTAGTTCTTATGTAACTAGGGACGGGCAATAAATGCTGGCCCAGCCAGAGATACCCACGTCCCACAAATGAATAAAAAAAACCTGCAGATGCTTTTTCAGCTCTTTTTATGTCTTTTGCTATCTAGCATTCATATTCTACTCTCCCCTTCCTAACCCTAACCCTATCATAATTTCTTGGACCTCTTTTGCAACATTCTAAAAATTTTCCACTTTTTCTGACAATTTTATAAGTTTTCTTTTAAGGCTGTGTTGTCCTTAATATATCTTTGTGACGCAGAACTGACTGCCCTATTGAGTTTTTGCATCTTTAAGGAATATATATTTGTTGTTGGTCATATTTTTTAAAGACTACCCATTGTCTATGTACAGTCATGCCTTTAATGTATTTTCCCAATCAACCTCAGCCAATTACTTTTGTGACAAGTGTGCAACGAATTGGGGAGACCACATCTGGAGTACTACAGTTTTTGTTTTCTTGCTTAAGAAAGTACATAAATGCATTAGAAAATGCAGGGAAATTTCACTTGACTGATTCCTGGGATGAGGATAGGCTGGACAGTTTAGGCTTGTATGTACATATAAAATTTGGCTTGGATCCAAATTAGGACCAATGTAATTCTGCATCAACACTGTGTAACATCTCAGGGATTAGTGTTACCCTGTATCATGCAGTTAAATCCAGTTGGATCAGTGTTAATCCTGTATGTTGATACCGTATAACACTGCCAGTCTCATTTTCAGTTACTGCCTGATACCTGCAGCTTTAATATTGACTTGGGAAGTTCCAGCCTGAAATAACAGAGAGAAGTGGAGAGAGTTTAGGGTGTGTTCACATTGAGTCATGCCCACCTGAGTGATGACTCTTCCTGTCGGAGTCCAGATACAGAGTTTATAAAGTAAACTCAATCCCAGTATGATTCCCATATCCCTTCCCAACTCTCCCCATTTGTGATCAACCCAGTATGTAGACATAGGGCCATTGTTACCAATGTTGATAAAATCTGGTCCACATCAGTAAGGTACCTTTATGTTTCTGCCCCTTGAGCAGCACTAAATTGAACAAATCAAAATCTTAACTGGCATGCTCAGTGAACGCAGTGAGTTCAACGTTCTACCTGTCTTGTTTGCAGTCTTTGACACAACTGACCACACCATCCTCCAAGATCAGCTCCTTTCCTTTATCCAGCTGCTACTGAAATCCTCAGTCATCCCTAAACTGTAGGCCCCATGTTCCAACTGTCTGTGATTCAGCCTCACAGCTTTGACTCTCTGTAAACCTCAACTCATCCAAAACGCTGCTGCTGCATCTGAGCAAATCAATGCATATGTACCCATTGGGCTTACTAACCTGCATGAACTCCTCATTTGGCAGGACCCCACATGTTAAAATCCCATTCTCATTTCTGAATATCTCCATGGCTTCACCCCAGTCTCCTCCAATCTCACAACCTTTAGAGACCTCTGCATTACTCCAAATCTGGCCATTACACATTCCCAATTTTCATCCTTATTAAACTAGCAGCTGTTCTTGCCTGGGACCTGGATTCGGAATTCCCTCTTCAATCTCTATGCCTCTTTCCTCGGAAAAGTTATTGCTAACGCTTTTTAAACATTCATGAAACGTGGGTGTCACTGGCTGTGTCAGCATTTATTGCCTATCCCTAGTTGTCCCCTTGAGAAGGTGGTGGTGAGCTGCCTTCTTGAACCGCTGCAGTCCATGTGCTGTAAGTAGACCCACAATGCTCCATACTCATTCCTGGGAAGCGGGGTATTATGTTATGACGAAAGGTAGAACAGCTTCTGCCTTTACCCATTCGAGTTCAGAAGACTGAGAGATTATTTATTGAAATACATAAGATGTTGAGGGGAATGGACAAGGTGGAGACTGGATGATGTTTCTACTTTTGAGAGAGACTAAAACTGGGGGGCACAGATTAAGAATAAGAAGTCTTCTTTTTAAGACAGAATTGAGAAGATTTGTTTCTATCAAAGGATCATTAGCGCGTGGGGGCTGAGCCTTTAAATTTATTCAAAACTGACGGAGATAAGGGAGTAGAGAATTAGGGGGAGCAGACTTCCATTTGGAGCTGAGGCTACAACCAGATCAACCATGAACTTATTGAATGACAGAGGAGGCTCAAGGGGCCAAATGGCCTACTCCTGATCCCAACCTTATGTGGCTATGTTAGGAACTAAGTTCCAAAATCTTCAATCAAAAATTGTGAAGGAACAGCAATAAATTTCCAAGTCAGGATGGTGAGTGGTTTGGAGGGGAATGTGCAGGGGGTGGTGTTCCCATGTATCTGCTACCCTTGTCCTTCTGGATGGACATGGTCGTGGGTTTGGAAGGAGTTGTCTAAGAAGCCTTAATGAATTTCTGCAGTGCATCTTGTAGCTAGTACCTTCTGCTGCTACTGTGCATCAATGGTGAAGGAAGTGAATATTGAAAGTAGTAGAGTTGGTGGCAATCAAACTGGTTGTTTTGTCCTGGATGATGTCAAGCTTCTTGAGTGCTACTGGAGCTGTACTCATCCAGGCAGGTAGAGAGTACATCTTCACACATGTGACCTGTGCCTTGCAGACAGTGGACAGGTTTCAGAGAGTCAGGTGGTGAGTTACTTGCTGTAGAATTCTGCGTCTCTGACCTGCTCAGATTGGTTGAGCTCTGTTCACCTCAATAACAATGTTGATTGTGTGAGATTCAGTGATGGCAATCCTACTGAATTTCAACGGGCAATGGCTAGATTCTCTTTTGGTGGAAATGGTCTTTGTGTGACACTTGCGTAGCACAAGTGTTATTTGCTACATATCAACCCAAGTTTGGATATGGTCTAGGTCTTGCTGCAGATGGACACAGACCTGCTTAAAAACAATTTATCTTTTTGCTGGAGCTTTGGGTCACCTGTGTTAATATCTCCTAAAATGAGCTGGTGTCAGTTCTTCATTGATAATTGATCCTATGAGGGTGGCTTGTGACTGTTTACTCTATTAAAGCTGCTTTATAAATGTAAGCTGTTGTTGAGAGAGCTCAGCTGTAGCTGAAACAGACTATTTTAAACAAGGTTATGAGGAAAGAAAGAGAAGAAAGGGTTGGCCCTAATTCGATAGGTCTTTAAAGGAGTTGGGATAGACTGAATGTCCTCACTCTGTGTGCTATTGGTTGATGACATGAACAGTTCTCTCGCCCTGTCAGAATTATCGATCAAACATCTGCAGAGACTCTGACTGGGATCCGTACCCTCCAAGCCTGTGCTTCCTCCTCGGCCACTGACGAAGCTTCTTTCGGGTTCTCAATTACTCGCCCTGTGCATCCAGAGAAATCCATAGGAACGAGGCAACTCTCTGAAACATTTGTCTGTGACAAAGGTGATGAATGGGAACATAGTCAGTCACATGTATGGAGAAGATGTCACTCATTGACCCATCCCAAACATTCCCACTGATACATGCTGTAAGTATAGTGTAAAAATGGAGGGGCAGAGGAAACAAACCCTGTCCTCACTGTGTTCCCAGTGCCCCTCAGCACTGGCAATAGCACAAATAGCTCTTCATTCACCGCCAATGATTTATATGTCTGTTTGAACACCCTCCGTTTGATTTGCTGCCTGACCATTAAATGTACACCCTTGTTTAATCCACATCCAATTTATCCCAGGCCCACCTGATTGAGCCCATTTTACTCCTGGCCAAGTTTCCCTTCAGTGGAAGTCTGCTTTAGATTGTCTGTCAATAAGATTAATCCAGAAAGAGCAGCATCACAGAGAATCCTATTTTGTGCTTCTCCTCCATCCCTATTCCATTTCTCATTCCCTCATTCACACACACTGGCACCCACGCACTCACATACTCACTCACTCACATATTCACTCACTCACTCATATACTCACTCACTCAAATACTCACTGACAAAGTCGCTCACTCACATACTCACTCGCTCACTCAGTCACTCACACTCACATAACTCCCTCACTCACTCAGTCACTCTCACTAGCTCACTCACATACTCACTCACTCACATACTCACTTGCTCACTCACATACTCACTTGCTCATTCACATACTCACTTGCTCAGTCACTGACTCACTCACTCACATACTCAGTCATTCACATGCCCACTCACTCATTCCAGGAGGACTTAATAGTCAGTTGAGACACTGACTGGTTTCCACTTCCTAATCCAGTTCTGTGACACCCCCTCCAATAACTAGAGCTGCCCAACTCCAAATCCCTTCCCAGCCTCAAATGTAACTGAATCAAATGAACTGAGACCTTGGGGATGGTCAGTGTGGCTCAGACCCTCGCTCAGTGAATGTACAGCAGCTGCTGTTTGCTTATTTTGGGTGAAATGAAATGAAGGATTCATGTTGGTGAGAAACCCGCTGAGGTCAGAAAAATTTCAAAATACCCGTCATTTCTGAAATAAACGCAAAACGTGATGTTCCGTCAATTTCACACAACTGTCAGCAGTGAAACTGAGAAAGCATCAAAACAGAAAATAGTTTCTTAATAATCAAACGATTCTGGAAATTATTGAATAATCAGGCAGTGTGTTGACAGGATTGACTGCATTTGTGGTTCAGGTGCACAGTCTGTGTCTTGGAGCAGAGTCAAATTGCTGATGTGTCACTGGGACAGGAGGGGATGGGGGCAGGAGGGGGATCGGGGCAGGAGGGGATGGCAGAGCTGGGGGCAGGAGGGGATGGAGGAGCTGAGGGCAGGAGGGGATGGAGGAGGCTGGGGGCAGGAGGGGGTGGCAGAGGTTGGGGGCAGGAGGGGATGGCAGAGGCTGGGGGCAGGAGGGGTTGGTGGAGGCTGGGGGCAGGAGGGGATGGCGCACACACTCACCATGATGGATGGTTGCATCCAGGATTGCGGTTTCTTCTTTTGTTGCATTATCTGATAATTGAGGCAGAGCTGCTCACCCATCTGCAGAACAAAGAGACTGTTACCACAGAGAATCCCAACAAAATTCACACAGGTATGATTGGTGGAGATCCCAGCATCAGCCAGCACAGTTGGGAGGCCTCTCACAGATCCCCCCCACCCTGTTAATAATCTTTTAATCTCTTCCATCAGACAGAAGATACAGAAGCTTGAATGCATGTACCAACAGGTTCAAGAACAGCCTCTTCCCTGCTGTTATCAGACTGATATATGGACTTCTCTAGTTTCGGATCTAATGTTGATCTTGCTTTCCACCTCTTGTACGGCTATAACCCTGTATGCCCCTCTCTGCCTAAGCACCCTATGATCTGTATGTCCTTGTTTTCTATGATCTGCCTGTACTGCTCACAAAACAAAACTTTTCACTGTACTTAGATACATGTCACTGCAATAAATCAAATCAAATCAATCCTCCTCTGTCCTGGCTCCTAGAAGACTGATTAATCCCAGTCACCCCCTGTTACCCCATAAAAATACACACTTCCTGTCGAAACCAGTTTCCAATGTAGATCCTGACTGTATGTGTATTTGTGTGTGCATGTGTGTGTGGGTGCTTGTGTGTGTGTTTCCGAATGTGTACGTGTGCATGTATGCGTGCGTGTGTGCATGCATGTGTGTCTGTGTCTGTGTGCATATGTATGTGCCTGTGTGCATGCATGCGTACATGTGCGTGCAGTGTGTCTGTGTGTATGTGCGTGCATGTGTGTGTGTGAGCGTGGAAGCGCATTGAAAGACACCTGGACTGTCAGAAGGTGCCCCTGCACAGCGTACTGCCTCCCACCTCCCCTCCAACTCCCACCCACCCTGAGATTTCCCCAGAAACATCCCCATGATCATTAATGCCTCAGCCTTAGATATGTGTGCCACCCTCACATACACCCAGTTTTCATCAAAAACATATTCATTGGTCAGACAAACCTTGAAGAGGCGGAATGCTGTCATCCAACATGTGCGACTTTGCTCATCCTCCGAGCACAACACTCCCAGATCGTTCCGGCCATTGTCCGACCTGTAAAACTATTGATGGGAAGAACATTGTCAACAGGAGATACAGCCTGAGGAGAGGGTGTTACTGACTGACAGCGAGACGGAGCTTGAACGCACTATTCCAACACCCTAAGCAACTGGGTTGGAGTAGATGCTGAGACTGTGGTGGTTTGAATGTCTCTATAAGCTCAATTTGAGCTGCTGAGTTTGGGAAGGAGGTGCTCAGTGTGACTGGTAAAGTGCACTCAGGGTTGTGGGGGGGGGGGGGGGAGCGATAGGCTAATAAT